TTTGACTCTCAGTCTGAACTACTACACTATCGTGTCCAGGATAACACGGATAATTTATTATATCAATGTCTGTCTCACTGCAACAAGTAGGCTCTCATCCGGAGAGAGTGTGAGCAGCCTGTATTGGACAGTGGCTGGAAAGTATTTCTCTTCTGAAATTGCAGAAACATAATCCCCTGCAGCCCACACACCATCCCAGAGTAAGTTTGTGCTACAACAGTATTTGTCTGGCTGGCACACAGAGGAATGGATGTCAGCCAAGTAGATTATACCTGGGCTGTCTACTGCTGCAAACATTATCCAGATTTTTGTTAATGAGGAGCCAAATTGCGATTGAACCTGAGGTTTTGTTTACTTTCAGTTTTTGTTATTACCATAGAGTTGCAATAAATGAAAAAAAAGAAGAAAGGCAACAATTCATGATTCTTAATCATCTAATAAATGTAGGTGACGAATGACCCTCCGCTGGCATCTGCGTAATCTGCGTCATTTTGTCATTAGTTTTCAGATAATTTTAAATACATATGCCACTGTGAATCCAGAGCATCGGAGCCTGTGTGTTGGCTCCATCCTCTGTGGTGTATTGAGAGCCAGCTGTGTGTTATTCCTGCCGTTTAATCCTTGGCTCGAGCTCAAATCTCTGTCCGCGGTGCTGAAGCGGTCACAGACGGTGCCATGCTGAACAGTCAGTCAATAATAAGCTTAGTCCATTCAGCGTTGTTAAACATGAATGTAGCTGAGGCTAACCCGTCTAAACTCCGTCTTAGACCCTCTCTGAGTGTTACCTTCCGTATCTCCGAGTGAAGGTTTTGCATCACAACTTATTTAATTGCACAGGGGAACATTTTCAACAGCTCTTCTTCTCTCTTTATTTCTCTCACCCTAAAACGGAGTTGTTGTGTCACACCACTTTTTCTTTCTTCAAACTGTAGAGAATTACATCTTGAAAAGAATAGCGGACTCCATGGACACGGTTTTAAAATGTTATAATAACAGAAGCGAGTTCAGTTCCGGACGTGTCTTACTGTAGTGGACGCGCAGTGTTGAAGTGGCGTCAGAGGGCAAAGAAAATGCAAATATATTAGATAGGCTCCAAATATGCAAACGTAAACTCATGCTGAAATTGGTCTCCCCTGACATTCTTCAAGTTTTGATGAAATAAACTGCAGCATAATGATATGAGCTTTAACTCCACATAAAAATATGGGTAAAGTGACTTTATGTAGTTTAGTAAAGGCTTCCATCCTTATTATGAGAGCAAAGTTAACTGTCTATTTTACAATAGAAGTATTGACACGAGGCTCAGTCTAACTGGCTTTAAGCAAAACATCCGAGGCGTGAGTAACAATAACCAACACACAAAGCAGTCCTTTCCCCTGCACAAAATGTCTGTGACATTTAACTTTGCACTTAAAAAATAAAAGACAGAAACACTTATTGAGCCTGTTACCTTCACAAAGAAGACTCGTTGAGGAAAGCACTGTTCTTCCTCTCCCTCTATCTTTCTCCTCTTCTTTTCTCCTCGTTCAGTCGCTCCGCGATGTCTCGGGTTCGGCGCGCGCTAAACCTGTGTACCAGTGTGTTGAGGCGAACGGGACCCGCGGCTGCGTAGCTCACGCACCACTATACTATCCAAAGCCAGTACTACCCGCGTGGCGCGAGGCACGTGGTACCCAGCTCCGCACCAGTACTCCTTTTTTCTTCAGGTGTGTGGAGGAGTAGGGGAGGTGCTGCGTTAATGTGCTGTGGATAACAACAATTTCAATGACTTTATGGTTCAAACCACAGCGTAACAACCCCTTTCTGCAGATGTTAGTTTTGTAAACTTCCAATCGCCGTTGTTTTAGATGTTTGAGCTAAGTACTTACAAAATATAAGAAGTTTTGAAATGCCCAGAATCTGCATTTTGCACACAAAACCATCACTAAGTCAGGTGAATTTTCTAAGTGTTATAATACAGTAATAGTATGTATTTAATTAATGTTGACTATATTCTTTTTCTTCCTTTTATGGCAAAACTCTGACTCTGACATGAAGAGTGACACTGGATATCCCACATTTTCTACATAAAATTATATCATATTATATCTTATATATAAACAAATCGTTGTTGGGTCTTCCTACTACTGTTCATTATTTATTTTTTAGACAGGCAATTTTTTCTGAGTTACTCTGGAGATTGGTTGCATGTTATATATAGATATAAAAATACAATTTTGTGTAGAAAATCCAGTGTCACTCTTCATGTCAGAGTTTTCCGACAAAAGGAAGAAAAAGAATATTGGCTACATTAATTAAATACATACTATTACTGTATTATAACATATAAATTGATCCATGCAACATCTGGTTCTTACCTCATGTGGAAACAGATGTACTGTATTGTCTGTACATGTGTTTCCAGATGAGTACAGGAGCAGAAAACAGTGACTGGACAAATTAAGGATGTAGCCTAGTGCTAAATTTGTGTAAAATGTGATAGTTTCATGATGGCATTTGGTCATACACTCAGGAAAGTGCAGATCTATCTGAGCAGCTGTCAGACTGACGTCGGCACAAACTGTCTCTAAGCATATGGGCATTCATTCAGTCATTTAGGAGCATCTGGTGAATCCCATGCATGTGTATGACTAACCACCTCATTCTGTTGCCGGCTGATCATAGGCAGGAGTGAGTGAAGAGGCTCTCAGCAGCTTGGCTCTGACTTGGCCTTTCACATAACCTCTCACTCATTTCACAGGAAGACAATCAGAACCTCTCTCATCCCATTTTGCGTCTCTTTATTTAAGAAACGTATTTCTGACACATTACATCATTGTATTCTGTTGAAGCAAACTTACTCGCTCCTGTGCTGTTTTGTCCTCTGCTTTGATAATCAAACATCAAAGCCTGCGGCAAATTTTATTTCTTTTCAAACTTTTCTTTACCAGCATCCTTTGGGAATCAAGGAATTCTGTGCCCTCTCTGACCAGCGCAAAGAGAATCAAGGAGTTTTCAAGGCGTTACTTTGTACTTTTTACATGCAAACTCATAAAAACATGGTGCAATCATCGTCTTCTCTCTTTGTTTTTCTTCTTTGGATAATATAAACATAAATCATTCAGTCTCTATAATACACCCTGGCTTAGTCATTATTCACAAAGATGCCCATGTGTATCAGACTGTAACAATAATGCATCTGTTTTACTTAAGGCCAGAACAGCTTTCATAACAAAACAATACGGCTGCATATGACTTAGCTCTGGCAGTTTCATAACAGATGAAGCAGTGCTGAAGTTGTGTGTGTGTGTGTGTGTATGTATATGTGTGTGTGTGTGTGTGTGTGTATTTGTCTGTTTGTGTAATTGAGGGAGAATGAGAGAAACCAGTGGCCTGAAACATATATGTGTTAAACAAAAGCTCACACACCAGCTGGGTCCACAGTCAACATACTGCGGGGCTTTCTCTTATCAGATGGCAGCTATATGTGCTGTCTGAAAACATTTGAAGAAATGAACACAAGTTAAATAACACTGTACAATATGACAACATTACAAGCCAGGAGAGAAAAAAAATCCTGTTTTTAATCAAATGAACACTGTAATTAAGTTGTATTTGTTAAATGCAATTGGAATGACACATAATGTCAAATAGGTTGTATGGTTATGATAGACTCATTTGACATTCAAGAACAGCACAGCAAGGATTGAAAACTTTAATATCTTCAATACAGCACATTGTAAAACCTTATAAACCTCTTCCTATCACTTTAAGCCACCATTTAGGATATTGGCCGCCCTCCAGCTGGGATAGCGATAGTAATTACGGGCCCTCATTTGAGAAAACATCAGTAAGATAGATGAAAGCCATCAACCGAGGAGTCTGAGGATATGTATAGTGGCTGGAGTTTTGTGACTAACAAGAAAGAGGAAAGTCCAAAATGAGAAGAGGTCAAGGTCAGAAGAAATTAAAACTTCTCGAAGAACAATACAATAACAGGGACCATGCAGAAAGCAAAAGCAAGCTGTTTTTACCTGTCTTTGTTTCTACCTCACTGTGAATTCTAAGATACACTCTTTTCTAAGAGACTTTTTCTCCTTTTTTCAGCATTGCACTCTATCTCTTGCTAAAAATTACCACATACTGTACATTACTTACAGACTAAAAGAATAGAAACATTATGCTATATATATATATATATATATATATATATAATAGCATAATGTTTATATATAGTCTTTAAATGGGCTAATTGGCTCCACATAAATCTTCTTGCTGAAAAGCAAAGCCTCAGGTCAGGTGTGCCCAAATCCTAATTTAAGTGAAATCTAGTAGGGATCTAGCGGTGTCAGTCAGCTCTTAGACAGCCAGGCCGTGATGCTCCTCAATCCAAGTCTCCCCTGATAACTTCTGACAGCAGTGAGTGCTACGCTATTGTGTTCCATCACTAACACCCCTCTGCCTTCACCAACACTCAAGCTCAGCCATCCAATTAATGAAGGAGCCTGAAACATACACACAATCGACCAACCACCCCCACACAAACTCACACCTCTGCATATGCAAAGAGCCACAGAAAAGCACACTCTCACAAACTCCCATATACATACATAAATACATACATACATACATACTGTACATGATCACGCTGATGCATGCAAACACCCACACCTGTGAAAACAAACACATCTTTGTCATCAACATTAACACTACTCTTGCAAGTGGCAATACACACATGCACATGAACTCACAGGATGTGTTTGCAGTGGTGCTGGAATTGTAGGGAGGCTCGACTCTCTCTTAGCTATTCGTTTGAGTAATACTGTGGCAGTATTTCTCCTAATGCAATGGTTGGTTATACAGTAAGGGATGGAATAAAGTCAATCTCACTACAACATTTCCAACATTTAGATGCCTTTGTTAACTTTTGAATAAGAAAACCTGACACGTGACATAACAGGTGACAAAAAAAGAAAAACAGAAAGAAAAAAAACACTCAACCACATAAGTATGGACCTCATTTTCCTTTTTCTTTTTTTTTTATTAGCATTATCATACATTAGGTACAAATGACACAATCAGTTACAAGGTAAGTAGCTCAGACTCATTTGAAGGTTTCAGGCTGACAAGGGAAGAAAACATACACCATTTTTAAAATACAATATATTCTTTCTTTTACAGTCTATGTAGATATCTACTGTAAGTCATTTATGTACAACCACAGGGATGCTGAGATTATAAATTAACAAAGAGAGGAGAGTTAGGGACCATGTTAATGTAAGGGTTAAGAGATAAGGCATTCCAGCACATCACTGATCCTGTACTCTGTAACGGCCAAAGAGATGGCAGTCCACTTCAACGCTCTCATTTCATAGCGAACAGGACACGGTGGAGAGTAATGACTTACTACAATGAGGAAAGCAAGATTCACATAAAACAAACGGGTATCTAAACAGAGTATTGTAAGAAATACCAATTGAAAAAAAAAATCATAACAGACTTCTCTCTCAAAACTCTTCATTTAAGATAAGAAATTTATTTCCTTATTTTCTGGCCATCTTATTCCCTTAATGCAAGACTATGTAACTTCTGCTGAACAGCGGCCTCTGCAGCCACAAGATGGTAATTACAGGGCGCTGGCGGCTTAAATTCTTTTTGTCCAGCAGTCAAGGGTACAGGACGCAGCGTGCCCCTAGAAGCTAACAGCTCATGTACAGACAATCACTTGCTCAGGCAACAAACACAAAATCATCCCCTCAGTACAAACCAGCAGTCACGCTGTCGACTCATATCAAGTCAGCATTCGGTTAATCTGACTGACCGAAAACATCTGAACCCACAGCAGCTGTGTGCTAAAATGTAGATGCTAGGAGCGAGTCGCATTGCCTCTGCCATGATGTCCTTACCAAGAATATCAAGCTAGCTTCTTCTTATAGCTAACGGACCCATAATCGGTGGTGTGTGTGTGACGCAGTGCCCTAAAGTGTTATGCACTTCTTGCACCCGCTCAACCTGAAGTTACATAGTCCAAGATCAGGAATACAGGGCACCAAGTGGGAATGAAAGAAGCGCCATTCCTTACAAGTCAGTGTACCATCAAATGATTCTGAAGCTGTTATCTTAAGGTAAAATAGTTGCATAATGTTACAAACAAAAAGGTGAGGACATCAAAACGAATGTAAACAAAGTAAAACACTAAATACATTTGGCTAATTCCGTTCCCATGGAGTATTAGGGGCAATCAGTAAAGAGGAGGAAAAAGTGGAAGTGATGCTAAATGTGGGAATTATAAGAAATGTCAACTGCTTTCCTGACCTGATGGGATTTAAAGGGTGAAAGGAGGAGGACACTGTCGATAAGATGATGGATTGACTTGGCCCAGGCACTGAGGACGGAGGAACAGGTAGAATGAAAGAGGGAGTACACAAGACAACAAGGGAGGGCTGGTTCAATGTGACGAGGCACAGGGGTTATCCTTCAAACAAGCCATCATCATCTGTCCTTACGTCACATGTTCAATGTTCCCTCACTCCCCGAGTATCCTCCTTTGATATTGTCGATACATTTATTAATTAACTCACTACATCATTCAGTCATTAATAGGCACAGGGAGGTAAAGGTAAAGCAAGCAGACAAGGGTGAGTCAAGTCATAGTTTTTCAGACTAAAGGTTATTGGTGTCAGTCAATAAAATGTGCTTAAATTTCTGATTTACAGACCAGATGGTGGACCATTTATGTGAACAAAGCATGCAGAGTTTTTTGTTGTTGTTGTTGTCTTTTTTTTAAGATCTTTTATTTACATTTGTGAGACTTTTGAGGTGTGCTGAGACACTAACATAGAGTAAAACTAAGTAAAAGTAAATTAACAAAGCTAATTTGACAATGGATTAAAAATACATGAGGAGTAGAGACTTTAGAGTAGAACAAGGTGGATGAGGATCAAGAGGAAGATGTAAAGTATCTCTGTTGAAGTTGGGAAAGGCACACAAGGGGAGAGTATTAATCTTTTTTTTCATGCCCACACCAACTGTGACATGATATTTTGAAAAATTTTCCAAGAAGAAAGAAGACTGGGGAGCAAAGTCATCAGAGAATCAATTAAAGGGATGGTTCTAGACTACTGAGTCAGCACATACAGAGGTGCAAGTTCAGACCAGGGCAGGACTGTTGCTGAGTAAACTGAGTATGTACAAGGAATATTTCCTCTCACCTCTGAGGAATTCACTGTGGATGTTAAATCAAATGCTCCACAAGTTGAAATGTTTTTCAGACACAATTCTGCCCAAGGCTAGACAGGCAGGAAGATATAGTACCGTTTATGGTGTGTTGACTATCAAACTGACTGGCATTGTAATGTGTACTGACACAATGTGCACCGGTATACTCATGGCAGCATGCTAGTGTATGGTATGTGGTTAACAGAGTGTACAGCAGGTGTGGCTCTAGGCAGGTCTCAGCCTATACATGGAGAAGCTGCCACAGAGAGTCATTTGTGTGACTACAGCTAGTGCAACGCTGCTATTGTCGGGTTCTGGGGTTTTCCAGGTTTGGCACATGCAAAAGGTTATATACGATAGGAAACACAGTAGGAGAGCACGACTCTTAGAAAAACACGGAGTAAAATTTTACAAATGGTTCAATAGTTCCTATCTATATCGGTCAGATATGAGTTATCTAATGTGATATATACTTTGAAAACATTCCTGAATTTCTTGAGCAGAAGCTAGAGAAATAAAACTGACAACACTGACAACAGCCAAAGATAAATGGCAAAAGCAAAAAAATAACAATAAAAATAAAAAACAGAACAATTAACAACAACAACACAACATTAAAAATATAACATAAACCCCATTCATGAGACACTAGAGAGCGAGTGGTCCCACTGGCTCAGCAACGAGCAGTGCTTCTGAGTCACAACTCACCACAGATCTGGATTCAGGTTTCCACATCGCCATACCAACCAGGGCCATAATGTAGCTATATATAAAGCTCCTACTTAAAGGACCACTGCTCTAGAGCCAGCGGCTAGGTTTCAGAAAAAAATGAAGTATTAGTATCTATTTAAATTCACAATCTGCAATAAACGTCTATTCTACTTTCTTCAGCCCCTGGCGTTCAGGATTCTTTTTTTTTTTTTTTTTTGGTAAAATCACTGTTGCTTCTCACTGTTGCTTTCATACACAGCTCACCCACCTGCATGAGCATTATGACTTTCAGTGTTTTATTACTGCTGCACAGCTGTGTCATTAAAACTCAGTCACAATCTTACAGACTTGTTGGTCTTATGGTTACTGACTGTGATGTCTACTGGCCCGCTTGAAATTCAGTCAATCTAGAGCTATGTTTACAGTGACACTCCACCCTAAGTCTCTCTATTGAGTGTTTCACACTCACTTCCTGTAGTTGGTTTGTAAAGAGTCATGTGTGAGGACTGAGCTATATATCATACGGATACACGGCGAATAAGTGCATTATGATGTAGGATTAGTTTGATACAGTTTTTTGTGGACATTCTTACACTTTTTTTCCCCCCACAGTGAAAAGTTGTCACTATTGGAATCCATTGTAATCAACATGAATATAAGATAACCGTGGCCATTATTCAACTTCAACGAGTGACTCTTAATCTCTGATATTAGATTTTGTGTGGTGCATCATTTAAGGGTTGCAACTCTTTGGGGTGTCATATTTTGTAGCATGCAGCACTTAGCAGATCACATGCATGAATGATGCCTACCAACAGCATGCAGATACAGAAGGACGGCCAACAGCCCGACACGCATCCAATCAACACACAATTTGCAGTAAAAATCACTAAGTATGATTAAAGAAAATCAAAAGAAAAAAAAAAAAGATTTGATAAATCTGCCAACACAAGTAAAACAGATATTTTTACAACTTGCTAAATCTGGATTCTATTTAAGACATCCAGTTGTTACAAAGTTGATCTCTACTGGGTTATGTTCCTAGTTGTTTCTTCTTCTTCTTTTTTTTTTTTACACATACAAATATTGGTTTATCTAATTAATGTAATAAAAGCACATTCAGGTGTTGGTATAAAACTGTAACTTGCTATACTCTTTTGAAATAACTCAGGATTATTTACAAAGGAGTTATACACTGATATTAGATACATTAAAATATTCATCTGATCTAATGGAAAAATAGGTATGAGTTCACAGAAAAGAGTAGAGTAAAAACAGAACTAGTTTAAAGACAATGAAGAAGCGACAATGAAGGCAAAAAAGGTTCATATTCAACTAATAATGATTATGTTGACATACTCCTAATGAAAGAAGAGTTTGTTCTCAGGACAGCAAAACAACATTTTTCATTTGCAACTTTTGTATCTAAGAAACCTGACACATGTGTTTTATCTATGCTGGAGGACATGATACTGTATGCAATAAAACATTGCATGGTTAATACACAAAGACATGAGTTAATGTTATATTCTAAAAAATGTATTAAAATGTCTTGTACTGTTTCTGTTAAGACATTTATGACCAAAGGGAGGCTTTGTAGTTGTGGGACAGGGATAGTCGTTAACACTGACTAGTGTTAAAACATGACAAACTGTAAACTTTGTAGGGTTGTTTTTTTTTTTCAAGGTACATATAATATATTCTTCCACAGCCCACATGCTAAACTGATTACTGTTGATTGTGTGTCCACAAAATTATTGACAAGGTTAATTTGTGCAGCTCAGTGAGGGCTGGGAAATAGGTCTGCAAATCACTGCTTTCAAAACCAGGTAAAATCGGGAGCTAACAGTTAAGCTAAGTGAAGTCTTGATAAAGTGAAACCAATTCCGACACTTTGATACCCATGTGTCTCACATATTTGCTTTTTTACAGGCTGCATATTATTCAAATACGTAACTGTTTCTCTGCACACTCGAAGGTGAGAGTGGCTGGAGTCAGTTTGTACTAAAATATAATTTTACACTGTCACCATGAAACCAAAGGATAAGAAAAGTGTAAACAAGATACAGAAAACATTGAATCACAAGGTGCTGTTTCAACTCCTGCACCACCTATCCTTCATATTTGGCTATAGCGTCTACACAGCTTTATATGGGTGTTTTTCACCGTCATCACATACAGTAATATCTATAATGTGATGATTATCCATATAGAAACAAACTATGACCCACCAACTAGATCTGTAGACTATAATGTTTATCCATTGAGATTTGTAAGCATGAATTTTTTGCACAGGCATCCTTTCCAGGATAACCTGTGCTTTAAATCTGAATCCTTTAATATTCTCTTGGTTATACAGGCAGAGATTAATTTATTCTCCTAACTTAATCATGTACTGGCATATATAAATAAAGCCTGACACCCTTCGGTCCAAGTGCCTCCAGTTATGGTAAGCCTTCAATATAAATCACAGGGTTAAGAAAGGACATTGTTTTCTATAGTGCATGCTAATCATTAAACTAAAGGAAATTAGAAACAGTCTAATCAATATAATCTATACTGGTAAACACATAGTAAAGAACAAATGTGGATGTGCTAAATTCCTGCTTATGAGTAAAAACCAATACATAAAGTGGGCCTTTGATCAAGTTGTGGTCAGATGTTAGATGGGCGGTAGGTTTAAGTGGGTGGCAGTGAGCAGGGAGGTTCTTCAAGGAGGTTTCCCCATCCTTCTCATACGCTGTTGCTAAGCGACGGGTGTACAAACTGTGGGTTGATGAAAGAGAACCCTGCAAACTCGGCTTGGTCGATGTTGGCGATAACCAGCTCATCTGGTGGTGTGAGCTGGGGCTGAGTGCGTGTGAAGAACTTGTCAAAGTTCTCCGCTCCTTTGCCACACTGTAAAAGAGAGTGAGAGAGAGAGAGAGAGAGGGAGATGAAGAAGAAGAGGGAGAAGAAGAAGTTTAGAAATGAGGCATGTAAAATAATATGAAGAGTGCAAGCAGACACACCAGACAAGAAAAAATCTGAAGCACTGGCAGAGGTATGCACACTGCAATTCTACGAAGGCCAGTACACAGCAAATTCTCAGAAGACAAGAGCCGCCATTGCATTCAGCAGAATTTGGTTTGAACTTCTTGGAAATTTTTCACAAATGAGCCCAAAGCGCAGGACACATATCATCATTGTCATCATCAAACATCATCAGTCACTTCCACTGACATCACCATTCATTTTATTCAATAAAATCACACTAGGCTGAGAAACTTCACAATGTGCATGGACAGAACAAAAAGCAGCATTTGTGTGTTCTCCCACTTCAACCTGTCAACTAATTAAAATGCATCTTCACCCTGTCCCCTGGCCTACATAAAAAAGGAGAACATTTCACACCTGATCCCCCACTTTTTCCACTGATTTATGCAAGAGGGAGTTAACAACATCAGATTACATGCTCTATATCTCATTCACCTGAAACGCAATGCACCCCTCTGAATAACAAATCAACATTGTCACAGCTGTGGAACAGCAAAGCAGTTTCCTGTAAACAAGGCCCAGGATTGATTCTATGAGAGGAAATAGTGTCAGGACCTCTGTAATAAGGCACGCTGTGTTTGCAATGATCTAACAACCTGCTGCGTACTCAGCTACGTACGTGCTTTTGAGCATTTGACCCACAACTGTCAAAGCTGATTATCTTACAGAAGAATGAAATGATTCCTTGAGCAAAAATCTCAACAGTATCAAGGTGCAACAAGGTCACAAAAGGGTTAATTGGTGTGTTCATAAGAGGGACGCAAGCTGTCAGTATTTAACAGGAGACATCAAAAGTGTTTCCATGTTTCTGTGATGAGAGGATAATCAAATTACAACAAAGACATGGAAACGGATCATGTCACATGGTGCATGAATTAGCACTTCAGAGAATTTTGATGTCGGGTGAGACCACTGAGATTTGCATTTGCATCACCTTTTTCCTCCAACTGGGGCAAAGACAGAGGTGTAAGGCTCAGTCATCTTACATGCTATTTTACCTGCTTTACCAAGAGAAGCACGCATGAACGGATCCTGTTCAAAAGCTACACAAACTGCTTTTGTCTAACAACTGCTACCAACAGTAGGAAATGGTTTTAGGACTCGAGGACAAAGAAACCAACTGTTTTATCTCTTTCCAAGCTAATATAATTCACGGTGCTGTGTATTATCTTAGCTATATTTCTAGGCTATCAGTATCCCCTTAGGGTTAGGCTTTTGTGGATGATGTGACCATAAGTATACTCTCTAACACGAACTTGCCAGCTGCCTCGCTCCCCTTACCATTATTTTAAAGGAGAGAGGTTTCAAACTGCACCAGCACCATATTTTCAACTTTTGGCAACATGCTTACCCAAAACCTGTCAGTCTGGCATCTGCACTCTTTGACGTGAATCAATAGCATCAATATTTAATGTTCTGACAGTCACTATTACGCAACCCTTTTTAGACCCTGCACACTGGTGTCAACATAAAAAATTTGTCATTTTAATGCGATGTGTCCCATCAGTGACTGAAGGTCTGCGAAGTGGCTAACCTACACAGAGCATTAGAGAGAGTGTCCTTCTGGTGGAGGTGAGAAGTCTTTTTTATTTAATCAAATCAAATTGTAGACTTGTCATTCAAGAACTTTTAAGTTATCCTTCTGTCTTCACTGGAGACAGATCGATAAAACGTCAAAAGAGATTGTACAAGAGAAAGAGCGTGTGAGAAAGAGAGAAGGCTGCATACACCATCCTCATATCCTCCACATATCCTCATCAGCGAGTCCACCTACACACTGGGCTCACCTGCGCGGAAGCATGCATTCGTAAATGTGTACACACAATCATACACCCAAACACGCACATGCACACGTGCACTCTGGGACCAAGTGCGCTACTTGATAAGCGTTCATGTTCCCTAGGGAGATACCGTTCTGCAGCTGGTTGTAAGGATAACTGACTCTGTGAAACCAAATGCCACGGGCCTCTATAACACAGGACTTGAATAGAAAGAAAGGATGATGCGAACCATAACTACTTTTGGCATTGTTGTCATAGAAATAAACATTGGTGTATTGGACTCAAAGGGTTGTTTTTTCACCAAAAATTACATCAGATGTTCCAATACACATAGTATGAAACTGTTTACATTGTCCGATGCCTACTCTAGAAATATAAATGATAATGGAAGGTCAATTAGTTTAGAGTTTTTAAAATGAAATAAATGTTGTCAGATTAAGTTAGATTATCATGGGGTTAGCGGCCTTGCTGAGTTAATGTGTCTCTCTGTGTTATTTTCAATGCATTTTCAATTGTAGCTGCTATACGTTTGTCCGGGTAGGGTTGATGACAGAATATTAATGTTTTCAGGACAAGACAGATTTTTCCCCCAACTGTTAAGCCAAGTAGAGGTGTTTCCAACTGCTATAAGCAAAGACCTCTTGGCGTCTTCTGACTTCTGCATCACCCGCCACATGTACTTCTCCAAAACAACCCAGCGGACAGAAATCTCCATCAAAGCATCCGTCACTACTGAACTGCACTTGACTGCTCTTTTTAGACTATACAGTAACTGACTGACTCACGCAAGTTCTGACACAAGTTCAGGACCTGTGTCCCCACTGGGTTTTCACTAGAGATCCACACTATGAATACAAGTAAAGCAGAGGCAACTTGTTTTGGGAGGATGGAGGGAGGTTTTACAGAAGGGAAGGCCCTCGGTCAGCCATTACACATCCTCTGTTCTTTATTTTTAGTCCTTTCCAATCAGTTTTAATTGTTGGTATCTTGTCGGTTTAAGCCCACAACCATCTGTGACCTGGCTTTGAAACTCTTGACTAACTCATGACTAACTGGCCTTATCCACTGCTGCCCTACATTACATTCACAGACAGGACATCATTGTCTAAGTGTGTGTATGTATGTATTTACGTAAGTGTCCCTGTGTGTACCAGCAAGCACTTGTGTGTGTGTCTGTCTGAGTGTGTGTGTGTGTGTGTGTGTGTGTGTGTGTGTGTGTGTGTACACTGTGGTATAACGGTACAGACATTTCTATTTTTACTTTTTTTTTTATTATTGGTGCGGCCAGACAGAACATGTCAGGTGATTTAACAGAAGTGAACAAGACAGAACACCTAAACGTTGAGACACAGACAGTTCTGAGGTGTGTGTTTGTGTGTGAGTTTTTTTTTTTTTTAAATGTCCTCCCATGACTGCTGTCACTGACAGGTGACGTTTGCTCCAAGCCACTACCACCCTGTCAGAGTGGATAAAAGATCGGGAGCAATTGTAACTGTGTGTGTGTGTGTGTGTGTGTGTGTGCTGTCTCTAAATGTACTCTCTCTCTCTTTCCCACACAGCAGATACCTGATGGGTAATCGCCAGGATCCTTCAACCGCTACTGTGTACTTGTCTTCTTCTATCCATCACTGACCATCTGTCATTCAAGCGAGGCAACACATTTTTCATTCTGACCTCCACCGACAATCCCCATCACCAAAATGTCTGTTTTCTGCTCTCGAGTGATAGTGATACTCTAACCAGTGTGTATGCAAAGTGTATGTGGGATGAAGCTTCAGCCGCTGAACTGACAGTGCTGAGTCTTTGGAAATATTTGACAAACACGCTTCATTTATTCTGGTCCATCTCTGTTTTTTGGAACAGAAAGGATGTGGGACTCTAGATTTGTGGCAGTAGTTATCGTGTTGTGATGATTTGTGGCTCTTTTTGTTTGTGAAATAGCATCACTTTACAAATAAAAAGGACCTCGAATAATCTGGAAACGGGTTTATAGGAGCAGAATGAAGCTCAGACGATGAATTCGGGTATGTACTATGGTTTTATGAAAATCTGCTTCAATGCCTTTGTGACGTTTTTATGGACATAAACTTGCCCTTTTGGAAAAGCACAGAGCTGGTCTTACATCTCCTATTCTTCGTTGTGTGATTCAGCCAAACCTTATGGGGTGAGACCAAAGCCATTATGCTGTTGATACATCCTCCCATACACGGTGACATAGTGTGCTACATGGGTTTTTGACCTACTTTCTCTCATCTTTAATCTCTCTCTCTTTCTCTCTTTCTCTCTCTCTCTGCACACATACAGACATGCACGCCTCTGCACTCAAGCATATTAAAAGAACACTCAGCTACTTAGGATGATAAATGAGTGCCTGCCTCCATTAAGATTTATGCCAAGACTCTCTCTCTCTCTCTCTCTCTCTCTCTCTCTCTCTCTCACTCTCTTTCTCTATCCCTCTCTTTCTCTTGCACCCTCTCCCTGAAGCCACTTGCATGGGAAGCTCTCCACTTTTGTCATCATCATCCTAAACATCATGTTTTGTTTTGTTGAACTGTTAGCTTGTCATTAGCAGTGAACAGTTTACAAAAGGGCAACTGTCATTTGAACTTAGCTCATATTTCATGAACATTTTAGTTTTTCATGCATGGGATTTGAGTTTTGTTCTGAAATGTATTCGTGGTCTATGAAACACTGCCCTGTAGGGAAATGTATCTAGTAATTCATTTTCACTGCCTTATTTCATGAATGTGTAAAGCAAACAAATCACAAAGCACAGTTGAACCCATTGGTTATTGGTGCAGAAAACCAAAGATAAAATCAGGACCTTACATCAGGGTTTTGGCTATGCTTCAAAGAAATGTAGCTTGGACCAATTTTACAACATTTTATACTAGTCAGCTTCTGCGTTCTTTAAAATTGACTTCATTCAAAAAAAAAAAAAAAAAAAAGCAGAAGGGTTTCAGTGTTTTTACTGTGCAGATTACAGATTGGGTTTTTAATACATTAACCAAAAATGCATCAGACTTGGCATCTGTTGAGAAACGAACTCCATTTTTATGGAAAATGTGATAGAAAATACAAATTCTCTTGACCCCAAATTGGGAAATAAAGAAATAAATAAAACAAATAAATACACAAACAAATGGAAAATGTTCCCTCTTATGTCCTGTAAGCTAAAAGAGGAAAGGCAGATATGTTCAGTCAAGCTGCAACCCACTGTGCCTCTCGTTTTCTAACAGCTACAGTGAGTCACAACTCATCCATATTGCCATCATTTTCTCTCTGTGTGTGCGTGTATGAGTGTCCATGTATCCCATCAGGCATGCACATCCCTTCCTTGGACACTTTTCCACGACTTCTGTGCAGTGACTAAGTCCTCCCACTCTTTCTTGCCCTGCTTCCTCCCTCCCTTCATTCACCATCAATCAGCAGCTTCCTATTTGACCTAGTTTTTCCATCGCGCTCTGCTCCAGTCATCTGTAAAAAACCATCGGCCATCCACAAGTGGGTGTAAAACGTGTGCGCATCAAGTGTGTTGTACTCCAAAGAAATTAGCCCGATTTCATGCCAACGCTGCTCGCGGGATGTGGCTGGCATTTAACTGTGCGCTTTGTTGTGTTACCTGCAGTCGACGGCTGCATGGTGACAGCATCCAACACCGTAAATATAGATCAACACTAACTGAGTCTGCTCTGACACTCATTCTACCACGCAGACTGTGTCCTTCGTGCGGTCTGAAGCCCCGGTCCAATAAATACAGATGGACTGAATCTCTCAGCTGGGTGCAGCCGCTGTATTGATTGCAATTCCACAGCTGTCACACGCGGATGAAGTGAGATTGAGCGGGGTTAGATGCACAAGGAGAAAGGAAAGAGAAGGAGGGTGGATTAGAGATACAGGGTTAGATCTGGTGAGGGGTGGGGTGGGGTGGGGGGGGTGCATAATCATAGCCATTTGGTGGTAATGGACTCAGAAACAGCAATGTATTATTATGGCGTAATGAGATGGACATGATGGATCATTAAAGAGTAGGTTATGGTGGTTGCTGGAAGCATTCAGCGATGTTTTGTAACTTTCTTTCCACCTCTCTCATCTTTCACCCTTACCTGCACTCTACAACCGGACCCATGCAGGCATGCACAGTGAAAAGGACATGCACATTTGCATGCATCCACCTCCCCGCAACTTTAGCGTGGACAAATACACCAAGCACAGAGGCTTTCCTTTCTCCGTCTGATATCGATCACCCCCAACCCCGCAACACACCGACAAACTTGCACTCTTATGCAGCAAATAGACACAAAGACGAGGAGTACATGCAAAGGAAATCTTCCTCCCCTGCTTTTCTCAATCTCTGTTAACCTTAAAGTTCTTTAACCTTCTCACCCACACACACATACACACATATTTACTCACACAAACACACACAAAGCACACATAGCATTTCCAGCACATCCACTCAGTGGGAGCCTACATGGACAAAGAGGCCCCGATTCACCTTATTAGAGGAACTGCAGCCCTTGAGGGTGAAACAGAAGAGAACTACAATATTTAAAATGAACATATAAAACAGACACACACACACACACACACACACATGCACACACACACACAACACTGACTGACCTACTTCATCTATGCTCTATGTTTATATTTTCTTCTTTTTTTTTCAAGAAACAGCCTACACGAACTCTTTATGTCTCTCTCTCTCTCTCTCTCTCTCTCTCTGTGTGTGTGTGTGGGTGTTCTGTCTACATATAAATCATAGAATGGCAGAATGATAAACAGAGAGATAGGGAGAAAGTAAGTGTGTGTGTGTATGTTATCATAAACTCAAGGGATCTCAGAACTACACCTTCTTGCGCAGCAAATATGAACTATATGAGATATGCATTTATAATAAATGGATGTTAAATTAATTATAGATTAAGATGAGAGGTTTTGGAATTGCTTATGGTCCATATAACACATACCATATGTAGCCTCCGCACACAGCTGTGTTTTGACTGTAATAAAGAGTGTCACATTGAGCCTGTATTATATATCACAGCTTGGATCAGTGGACATCAGAGTGACTTCATTTCTGTTTATTGAGCAAAGCCCCGAATTAAATTATTATTATTTATTTCCGTAAATATAATGTTGTAACTCTAGTGTAGTCCTGACTCTGCTTTTGCTGTTAATGTGCAAGAACATAAACCTTTGACATTGATCAGTGAAAATCCTGACGTGAGTGAATTGCACCAGTTGCACAACTTCCTCCTTGTGTGTTACACTCTTTACATCCATTCCTGGAACTGTCAGCCATTTTCTTAATGGACATGTTACAAGGGACAGCAGTGTGATTACATCAGCCAAGCGTTCTCTCGACTCCTTGCCTCCATGAAAATATGCTTTTGAAAGCAGTCACCTTCATATTGACAAGAAGTAAAAACACATGAGGCAGCTGTTTACAAAAAAAACCTATCTTATGAAGTTACCTGGAGTAGCAACAACACATCCTGGTAGTTGGCGTGTTGTTGACACAAGCCCTGTAAGAGACCATAGCGACCTCCTCTGGGTGTCCTCTGCTTCTCACTCAATGTGTGCTGCGATGGGCTGCTTCCACCCCCACCCCCCCAACCTCCCTCAATCACCCCACACAGGTCAAGTAGGTATAGAAATGGATGGATGGATGGTTTTCATACATTGAAGGAATCAAAAATAACATCTTGGTAAAATCACTGTGTATGCATCAATATTACATCAAATGTTTCAGTAATACAAGAAATGAAGCAGAGATCATTTTCCATGAAAGCGAGACAATTTAATATAGTCGCATCCTAATAATCATTTGTGCCCACACCTAACACCACTGACAGTGTCCTCACTCAGTCTATCTAAGCGAAGAATGTGCTGAGGCACAGTGACTAAGCTCTGACAACATTTTCAAACAAGTTTTCATTTATTGAAGTTTTTCCACTTACCTCCCGTAACTATGCAAACAGATTTGGTTTTATTTGCTAAGGTTTTAGGATTGCTGCCATGTTGTGGCGACCGTTTTCAACTGTACTTTCACAGCTACAGGATTAAAAAACTACAACTGTGAAAAACATCATCTTTGTTCTCTCCTCTTCTTTTTTCGCAAGCAGTTCCCTGTCAGCTCCACTGATGACAAGTGCAAACTCCCTCGATGGGCCATTGAAGATGACTACTTGGGTAATCATGTCAAACAAAACATGCTAGAAAATGCTACCACTCTACCTAAGTGAAATATCACTTCATGTATTTGTAATCTGTTTTTCACAACTTTCTTTTCAGGTATACTTTTGCTGAAGTCGACCAAAGAGTTTCAGAAAGCTGGCTGCTACAGAGGAGCTTTCAGAACAGTCCTGACAGCAGCATGTGTGGTTCCTTTGTTTATGTACGTGGGAACTGCATGTTAGTAAAACAAGGCAGGACAGGGAGAAAGAGGGAGGGAGGGGGCTGCTTGTTGTTTGCAGTTAATTCACTTTCACTGCAATAAACTGTGCACATAATATCCCATAATATCGCCCATCTCATCTATCTCATGTGATAGATTCTTCATGTTCTGGACCATTTTTATAGCAAGTGTCATTACATTAGCAAGAAGGATTTCCTGGAATGATAAAGTGCATTCAATGGGATTGGATGCGATGTTAATGAAACCCCTCTGGCATTTTCTGTAATCTGCATGTGTGTGTGTGTGTGTGTGTGTGTGTGTGTGTGTGTGTGTGTGTGTGTGTGTGTGTTGTTCCATGTTGTTTGGGGGGGAGGGTGGGGGGGGGGTCTTGGGGACATCCAAGTGGATTGGATGTCGGGACACAAACAAATCAAGAGCATCGATCATAGAGAGAGATAAAAACAGCTAATCTTTTTGTATCCAAGCATCTCATTGATATTCCAAAAGAAGTTGGTGTTGACTCCATTATATAACTCACAACTAACTTTGTCAGGATTGCTAAAAATATGCACCACCTGTTTAATTTCATTTGAACACCGTTTACTTAACATATCAAAGACAAAACACCCAATACTGTTTTCAAACTTTCATCATCTGTGAATATAAATGAATACGGTAGTTAAGACTCAGGGGCCTTAAAAGTTAATCAGATAAAATACCCCTAAATTGCTTACAGATAAAAAAATAAATCAAACAATATTGCATTACTTTACTTTAAGTTTTAACTAGTGACTTTCCCTGTTTGTGTGTGTATCCTGACAAATCTGACTGAAGGCTGAGGAACAAGTTAGTAAACAAACAGCCAAGAACAAATAGTCCCCAAGGGAGCAGATAACGCAGCAGAGGGGCAGAAGACGTCTTGCCATAACAGATTTGTCTTGCAGTGATGAGCACATCTGTTCTTGTTTGTTTGGATGTGTGCAGTTCAGAAGGTTGGGGTTGTTTACTTGTCTTGTTTATGTGTTTTATGTTTTGTGTTTGCATGACGTAGTAATACGTAGCAATTTTCTCATCAGTCATTACCACCATTAATGGGATGTAAGAGGAGAACTTCTATAGACATAGTGTCAAGGAAACTGGCATCCTCTACCAGCCTCTAAACTGCCTTTTTTTCCCCCAGATTTCTGGCTTTCAGTTGTTTTTCTTAATTCACAATTTGAAAACATTAAAACATGACATGTGACATGTGTCAGCAAAAAATACTAAACAGATGCAGGTGAGAAAAAATATCACTGTAACTCAGCGAGGTGCTCTTTGCACCGTGCACCCACATGGTTATAGAGCCCAAAGTAGCGATAATCCCTTTGCGAACGGAACAGACAAGTGTAATGGGAAATGCGGCCTTATATATTTTAATGAAGGCTAACCTCGTGTGAAAGAGGCTACAGACCATCTTAACCCTGGTCACAGTGATCGGATCAATCGCGATCGCACCTCATCAGACTACGAAGTATAAATCAAACCCTAACCACGACTTTTCCGCAGAACTTACCACTTTGGGCTTGAAGGGCGGCTGTATCTCCCTGTTCTGGAGGCGTTCCCAGTCGATGCGTCTGAAGAAAGCGTGTTCTCGGATGTCCCTCTCTCCCTCAAGACCACAGCCCAGACGCTTGGATGGGTGCTTGGTCATCAGCTGCTCATGGTAAGAAACAAAGATGAGAACATGGAGTTAAATCAGAGAGAATATAGACGATGTCATCCGTCTAAATCACAGTGGTGATTCCACTTATACCTAGATCACTGGCTGTTTGCTGTTTTTAACAATGGTGTAGGTTATGTGAAGGAAAGAAAACCTGTGGAATTAATGGTTCACACAAGTTTTTCAATCCAGTTTTCTCAACTTCAAAGAAAAATAAGAACGTTTCATCTTTCTTCAGTGTCTAAAGTAAACGGAAGAAACTTTCAGAGAACAGATCCACAGGTTTTCTCTACAGGTTTAGGGTTTGGTTTTATTTCTTTCAAAAGTGGTCAGTGTTAGTGCATCAGGAAAACTCTCACTTTGTTTTCTGCCCCTTCTGTGTTCATTCACCGATGTGTTTTGTAATGTGATTCCACCTCTTTTCTAGGTCAGTAAATGACAACGGAACAGATGGGTCTGCTTGTTCTGCTTTTAGAGAACTGCTGCCACTTACAGTCGCACCACAGACAACATGGGGACACAATCTGCACTTTGTAAAAGAGCAAACCAAGACAAAAAAAGGGACCCACAGGAAATATAACCAACAAGAAAATCTGTCCCTGTTAAATGATGTAGTGGCCTTAAGCTATTGCATAAATGTAATTATCCAAATAAAGAATCATTTAAAAATCATTGAAATGTTTGTTTGTTAGGCTTGCAGTAGGAGAGCCTATGCATTGCTGCTTGCATGACACAAGTTGGACACAAACAGATAAAAATGCATTAAAGCAATTCCCACTCATAATGGAAGATAATCACTGATTGGCTGCTTGTTTTTCTAAGTGTGTATATGGACTGTGACCACTTGTATTATTTACATAAATATTTTTGCATTATCTCCCCTGCCTTAGTGCAGTGATTTGTCCTGACTGAATTGCAAAGGAAGGGAAAGGAGTTGTCTGGAGATGGACACAGAGCCTGGTGGGTTTCAGTATTGACAGTCCAAGGACAAAATGACTTATTCATGTTCCGGAGTCTGAAATGGAAATGGTGTTTTGTTTGACTGAGCTTGTTTTAAATGCTTAAATAGGCTGGCTTCCCGGCTCCGGTATTCAGTGCAGTGCGTGCAGTCTTTCTAAGTGGTATGCCCACGGTGAGAGTACATGTAGGCCCATGCATGCATACACAGCCTCCAGTAAAATCCCTGATCTGTAATGCATACCTTCACATGCAGCTCAGTCACCTTGACAGTTCTCCTGAAGAATATGACACGTTTAGCAATCACGTGTCGTGTGTTTAGCAATCTTACACAGAGGGAAGACTATTTAACCAATGTTCAGTCAAACTACAGCTTCTGACCAAAGGCACATATACAACACACACTTTCAGTCTTACAGGAACTGATCAGTCAGGTTTTATTACTGAATTCTATCAAATTCAACATCTGTTTTTTTGTAAACTTTAAATAACTCTTTGCTACATTATGTTAACTTATCTGCTAATATAAACTCATCTTCAGTGGGGAAAATATATATACATAATTCTGAAACTGACAGACAAGATCAATACACACCGTCCACATCGCTAGCATTGCTAGGCAGTGCTGGCTGAGAAAGCATGCTGAGCAATGTGAAATGAAATCTTGACGCACAATACCCACTGTTCTCTAATCTAACACAGCTACTGATAAAATAAAATAAAAAGCAGAACAGCTGTATGGCTGCTTGTGGAAACACTTAGTGAGGTACTGGCCCACTCTTAATTTGGTGGCACAGTAGATATGTTAAGCAGCTGCCTGGCTTTTGTTATTGACCACTGACATAAAGTCCAGCTTAAATGTCTTTGTATTCTATTTTGCTGTATTAATGACATAAATCAACAACATGATATTACAAGAAAAAATCTCATATGGATACATTTTACTTATCTGTGGGTCTTTCATGCAACTTTGGTGCTTGGCTTTACTCGAGAGCTGACTGGCAGTTGTGTGTGTTGATAATGTTTCTCAACTCCTTTTCAAAACGTCTCTTACTTGTGAATAACTTTGTCCAACCCATAGAAAAAATGGGGGAAGCAATCTACAATTTCTTATCTGTGCTGGTCTTACAGTAAACCAATAAATTAGGCTGGACAGAAAAGGAAACCTCATTAACACTTAAACGTTGCTTTATTCACACAATCCTATCTTTGTTCGCAAAAAGTAATAAGTCTCATAATTAGTCTTCACATCTTAAGTGAAAATGTGTGCTGCTGTGTTCGGATGACCATATTTTTTTTCTTACTTTACCAAATAACATGAGATAACAGGCTGAAGACTTGCATCAGTGATGAATTTCAATGGGCTGAGTCTCTACAGTTTCCTTGCTGCAAGCCCTTCATCATACAGGCACCGGGCTGGGCCACATCTGAACTATAGCAGAGTGCATCCAGCTGGCAGAGCACTCCAGACAGTTGTTGACAAGGAAGAAAAAGTCATTTGCAGCTTTCGGCCTGTTCACAGGACTGTCACTGACAGTGAGAAAGCATCCCGCTGCAAACACATGGCTGTCACCATTAAAATGACACACCTCACACCTTGAAATGTCCTGAAAGTGACTGCTGGACTGCTGCCACAGCAATCAAACACTCCAACTTTTATTTTTTTTTTATTTTTTATTTTTTTTGGAAACTGAGCTCTTGAATTATTTTGGCATCAGTGTGACTGATCACCTCCAGAAAAAAAGAAAGAAAATGTGCTGTTGACATTTCATGGAGACCATTTGTTCATTCTGTCTGCAAACTGTTAGCACTTCGAATCTCAGAGTGGCTCCACCGCGTCATGAACTGTCAGCAAAAGGTTTAAAGTGTACATAACTCTGAAGGCCTCCTGCTGTCTCTGCTGAGAACACCAAATCATGAGACTTGATGGGATGAGAGGGAGGGAGAGAGGAAGGGAGGGAGGGAGGGAGGGGAGAGCGAGAGTCAGGGAGACAGAGAGTTAGAATGAGTAAAATAGAAGGCAGATGGGGTCTCGTCGGCAGGGAGTCTGGCCAGGTACAACTGTGTGATTCAGTACATCAGGGCCACACACACACACACACACACACACACACACACACACACACACACACACACACACACCATTGCTTTCATCTTTTGCAAATACTAAATGGGCTTCGGTTTCTCTGCGGACAAGATATTATGCAGCACTCAGACAGCACATGTGATTTTACCTGGAAGCTTTTGCCTCAATGCTTTCATTTAAGTCAATTAGTCGAGTCTAACACTTTTGAAAGAGTGAACTCATCAACCACATTTACCATCAAAATTTACACCCGGAACACGTTCTATATGAATACCTGACTCAATCTATACCAGTATTCATTATGAACTACAACAGCATTAAAATGGATGACCTCTGGGTATCATCCCATTACTCAGATGAATGTGTATCTACATCTGTGACCTATTTAAAATGTAATGAACTATACAATATAAATGGGCTATATGGGCAGAATAGAGACTAGCAGTATGAACAGTTGCAGGTATCCACTTACCAATTAAAACACATTTATACTATTAGAGTATGTGTCCTTTTCTTTTCCCTTCTGTTCTATTGTCCTCCGCTGTTTTCTATTTCTGTATGAGCATCAGTTTTCTGGCAAACTCAGTTCACCTCTGCAGCACCACCACTCCTGCTCCCTGCCCATTTCACTCTTTTATTCTCCTCCTCGTTCCACCTCTCTTTATCCCCCTTTCACCTCTCTTTCTCTAGTTTTCCTTTTTTTTCTTCCCTCCCATCAATTCTTCCCCTCTCTCTCTCTCTCTCTCTCTCTCTCTCTCTCTTTTGTGGGTCAGGCTACTGGCAATTACTATGTATCCATTAAGAGGAAGTGCTGCAGCCCTGCCAAACAAGGGTTGAGACAGGGGCTTGGTTCGAGACCAGGACACACGCACACATCTTTGTTTAATTCTTGCGCACCATCATTGACACGACGCATTCTCTAAATCCCTAACGCTCAAGTCTTAACCCTAAAACAGCCATTAACACTTGTGGAGTCGTAGCATTTCGGTCCCGACAAAGCTGTCAGAGCCCACAAGTATAGTCAAACAAGCATAAAAACACACACACGTACACACACACACACACACACACACGTACACACACACACACACACGTACACACACACACACACACACACACACACACACACACACACACACACACACACAGCCAAGAAAAATAAAGCAGAAAGGAAAAAGGGGGACAAACAGAGCAAAGTAGAGGAAGGGACAGAGAGATAAAGCGCATTATTTCACAGCTCATTGACTTTGCACTGCCTCTGGACAGAAATAAAACTGCTAGGTTCACTATTAAATTTCCTAATACACACGCACATGTTTTTCTTCTTTTCTTGTGAGCATCTCTGGACATTCCAAGTCTAAAATAATTCTGATAATTTATTGACCGTACAGTCTAAAGCCGAACCTCATGTCATCAGTGCCTGTGACTCTATTGACAGCTGGCCAAAATTCATCTGTATTTACTGTACATCAGGATACCAATGTTTCTGTCTGCCTTCTGAGTACATACAGAGTGTCAGTGTAAGGTCATACAAGCAGAGGTTAAAGTGCAAATAAATGAGTGCGTGCACAATTCATGCTCATGATTTTTGGCTTGTTGTTTATTCTGTGAAGCAAAAAACTGGGGCAGACTCAGAGTTTCACAGAGTTTCTAGCGAATCCATTAGGTAAGAGTCCTGAAAAAATACAAAAGGTATGTTTTACCATTGTTCCTTTTGCCTTTCACTTGCCTTCAAAACATTCTGTTGTAAGCATAAAATGAGACAAACAGTTACTATGTCCCAGCCTCCTTGACTTGCACTGACCCGCTGTTCAGTTCCCTCCCTCTGTGTCTGGAGATCCAGCAGGCATATATACCCACAGTCGCTGAAACAGCATCCCAGGAGACAGCTGAGTCTAAATACTCCTCGGCTCTTACAGGGAAGAGCTATCTGATGAAAAGCAATCTCACTGCAACTCAGAATGATCTTCTGCTGAACACATCACAGGAGATCAGTTGATGAAAAATTGTCACCAACAACTACTGGGCTACCACACTAAATTTCAAAGCGTACTCTGTATTTTGGATTAAATTCAGACAGCTACATGTACTGTGACTGGGTTCAGCGACAGGTTATCCATATTTTTTCGAGATGTGCGCACAAACTGGGCAGAAAACAGACTAGAGATACAGAGAGATGAGTTGAGGAGCAGGAGTGACGGGTGGAAAACATTTTTGATCTAGTTAAAAATATCTCTTGGCAATTTTGTCAGTTCTGGTACGTACATATCTAAGAGTTTCACGGGTGTATACACAGTCTTTCGATTGTTACTCTGTGGATGATTTCATGTATTAAATCCTGTCCTCACATAGTTTTGTATGAAGGACACAAAGTTCAAGCATCTGATATTATGAATCTTTAAACTAAACTTTCAGGTACATGTATAATCTCTGCCCTATTTTGCTGGTTAGCATCATAAAATTTCATATTCTCTATCATCCTCCTCAGTACACATAAAGTGCCTAAAAAAAGCCTTACTGTACTGGTATAGTCATGGTTAGCATCATCACTGCTACTAGCCATTTATCAATATTGTCATGACAACAAGAGTGACCAGTTGTCTAATCAGTCTTGTGGAAACAGTTGACAAAGTTCTCAAACAATTTCTAAAAATGATTTTCATCATGCTCTCTGTTTCTAAATGTTAAATATGCCCTGATATACCCCTATGTGTTAAATGATGAGCCAAAAAGGACATGCTGGTACAAAAAGTAAATCATATATTTATGTAGGTGAAATATCTTATACTCATGGATCAACAGGCTTTGAAAACTGACTACAAAAGTATTTGGAATAAACCTTTAAAACACCAAGCTCATGGAGCTACTATGCCTTACTGTAACAGTCCCGCTTGTGAGGAGTATATTGGATGACCTAATAGGTTTCCCTGTCAGTGTTAATAATGCAAATGTCAAAGACACAGGAACTGAATGGGAAGGGGAAAGGGAACTTCCAAATGAGTTCCCAGACACTATTTAAAAAAGTTCACACTTTATTCTTACAGCAAGTCGAGCTAGACTTCTCATATGTTATGTCCAACTCCGGAAAGCTAAGAAAAGCCTGTGACACAGCCTGTCAAGTTTTTCTCCCCGAAGCTGAACTAGCAGGAAAAGGCTTGTAGCCCTCTTATAAGACGTTGTATTATTTTGGCTTCAGTGAAGAGCGTAAAAGACGCAGAGCTTAAAATGCCTGATTTACAGGCTTTTTCACCCAGGTGGGAAAAGCTCCTGGGGAAAATAGTCTCTTAGACTGAAGAGGCAGGTTTCATATCAGACTGTTTAAGTGCATTTTTTCCGAATCTGTTTCTAAAGCTTAAAAACAAAACCACTGATAGCTGGTACAAAGGTAATCTTTTATGAATACTGAATAGGTTCACATATATATGTGTTTCTGAACTTTGCTTAAATCGCAAAAACTGGTCGACAACGGGAAAAGATTTTCCATGGATGACAAAGAACGTCCACTCACCCCTTTGCAGATGGAGACAGCTTCTTTGGACAGGGACTTGGGGTATGACACGTTTTGCTCCATTATGGACTGGAACAACTCATCTTCATCCTCTCCATCAAATGGAGGCTGAGGGTGAGAGGATACAATATTGAGAGTGTTGTTTGTGTTTCATCCATTATCACATAGTGGTAAAGTGAAAAGTAAAGTGTCGGCATGTAGAACCAATTCATTCCCTTATAAATAAAAATGAAGAGGGCAAAAAAAAAAAGAGAAAAAAGAACAGGACACAAATATGACTAAACAGGGGAGAAAAGGAAAGGACAATGAGAACAACAAAGACATGAAAAAGGAGCAAGAACAAAGAGCAACAGTGGAGATAATTCGTGAAAACAAGTTACAGGAAAACCTTGCAGGGCAAATGGAGTGGATGACCCAGCTTTTTCCCCTCCACACTGGGTGGTTATCATCAGTAACCATAATGTGGGTGTTTTGACAGTCCATAAAATGAATTATTCGTCATTTCCACTCCACTGGTCTCTTCGGCTAGAGATAGCCTGTCTGCGTCATGCCCCCTTTACCTGATTTCACATAGTGAGGCAGAGCGAGGGAACATCTGAATAGATAAAAACTTTTGTTAATTCTTTAGCAGCTGACACTTTCTCTAAGTTCATTTGGGAATGAAAAAAACATCCTCATCTTCATGTTTTGCTTTGAAGGAGTGAGCTTTTGCATATACTTGCACTTTACTTTTGACCCTTTAGAAAAGGAGTCCTTTCAAAAATATCTTAAGAAGTCATAAATGTGTTAATAAGTCTTTTAGCCTTGAGTCTTTGAAACATGTTTTATTAAAAACGTGTGAGAGAATCTTCTGACGGGACGAGGTTTTTACTTTCTCAACATTTTCAAATGAGAATATTTTTAAAGAATATGCTTGAAGCATTAGGGGAATTATTGTTTGTTTCAACTATTATAACTTCCGCTAAAATGCGGCTTCAGTGCTGAGAGTTAATCACAGGCTGGAGTGACAGTAGTCATCATTAAAAAGTTTACAACTACATTCAGGCTAATGCTATGGCCGGTAAATAAACCATTCAATACATAAATGAAAGAAGAAAAAGGGAGGCAGCTGAGAAAATTGAATATGCTCAATTTGAACACAACGCACAGAGGACATCCTCCACAGAAAGCATCCTGATTACAATATTCAAATAAACTAGCTGCATGTCTTTTTCTTCAGGTGGTTTATTTGCTTCTGAAAGAAACACTTCTTTCCCAGCCAACAATTTACTGGTATGTTCCCTTGAATACCTAAGAATACTGTCCAGAATATTGACTCATGTCCACTGGCAGCACAGCATGTCGTGTCCACAAATAAACAGAGAACCTGTGAAAAAGTAGGCTTTCTGGTAGTGAGACAAAAAATGGTTCGACAAGAAATGGAGTTGTTCGATGCAAAAAATAAAATTTCTAATATGCTCAAACTGTGCACAAATGCGGGCAACTCCATGATTGGTTCGTTTGCTGCTACTCTTTGCTTGTACAACATTTCAATCATGCATCTAAATGTAAAAAATCTGTATAACTACTAACATTTGACTTGAAGCTGAAAACACACACTGACTACATTAAAGCAGGGTGAAAGGTTACACTAACTGTCCTGTGATAGGAGAGCGGAAGGAGGTTTAGTGTGTATATGTGTCAATGTTTATTATTAGAGCCGGTGGGAAGGTCTGTAGGAAACACCACCTGAGTACATGTGGGAATAATGTGGGTGTGAGCAATCTGCGAGCAACCCTGTGATGTGTGTGTAAAGTGGTCACATAAGTTGTGGCAGGCAATTGCATAAGAAGTACCATTGTCTGTGTGTGTGTGTGTTTGTGTGCGTGTACGGCGCTCACCTGTCCCGCAAGCATTTCGTAGAGCAGCACTCCGTATGCCCACCAGTCTACAGAGCGTCCATATGGCTGATATGCAATGATCTGTGTGGGAAGCAAGAAAAGAAAAGTTCAGAAGTTCAGCGTAACTCAAGCAAACAATTCTGTATCTGAAAATACGACAACACAGTCTATAGACAAACTTATTTAATTCTTCTACTCCTTTCAGCTCAGGACGAATTAAGTCATGTTTTTTTTTTTTTATCTCTTTGACGTTCAGGTTCTCTATTTCAGACTGTGATTCATTTTCACTTAAATATAATTTATCCATTACAAGTTTCTGTGTTCTGTTACCTCAGTCTACACATCATTACATCATAAAAATATAACATATTATTCACTCACAATGTATACACTCCTTTTGTGTAGTTTAATTTGATCCCACTGAATCCAGCGCACAACACGTCTCCCACTAAAAACTGTGGTGCTTAACGTGTAACTCTTCATATGTAAATCATTGTTAGGACAATTTCAGAAAGCCATTATGAAATACTCTATGGGCTTCTTTCCAGACTGGTTGCATATCTTTTCTTGCAAACTGCCATTGTGTGTCTCATTTTTATGTAAATCTAAATGACTGTGATATTATAGCAGCTCAACAGTTCTGAATGATCAAATTACTCATACCAAGAAACCAACATCAAACACTGTTCACAACATTTTAGTGCTTTCCTCATGTCCTTGTTAAGTTGCCAACTGGTAAACGGAGGAGGGAAAAGTTTAAGCCAACAGTGCCTTGAAATGCAACAGACACGAGCGTATGAAGTTTGACAGCAGGTACATCCGATCCTGTTTGATGCTTTAAAAACTCACAGACAACATGGCCGCTTTTCTCTTCATGTAGTGATTTGACTAAGACAAAGAAAACGTGTAAAGCAAAGTTGCTTGCCACCATGGGATCCCGGAATCACCAACATTTTATCACCTGCAACAATATACGTGCCATGGCTGAACAAAGAAGATAAGACTCTAAAAAACTGGGTGCAGAGTCGATAACAAAACACAAGCCTTTTTTACACAGAGATGCCTCTATGTTGTTGAGACCCTTCATTATGCCGCCTTCGCTTGTTTACACTAAACCAAACAACGCCGAAATAATGCCACCCCAGCGTGTGATTTAAGATAGCGTTACTTTCTGGGATCAGAGGCATAACTTAAAACACAACAGCGTTGGCGTTTATCCCGTCAGTGTTGGATTTCCCTTTACACGGACATCAATCTGGCTCTGTGACCACCTCCGCTGCTAACTTAAAGGCGGAGAAACAACGCCTCCCCCATTCCATGTTTGTGCATTTTATAAAGAAAGGCATGGGGGGTATAAGGGCGCAACATTCCCACCTTGAGCAGGCTGTGTAAAACAGGGGCTACGGAGAGAGAGTCACTGTTTCCCATTTTACAAGACACGAACGCCTCAGAGCTAAAAACAAAGAGTTCTCATAGAATGATTTGGTTTCGCTTCACACATTTTCACACAAGAACAAGTTGAAGATGGGAGTAAACAACAGAGAAGCTACTGTGAACAAAAACACTTGCTGGCAAGAGTTTGCGCATTTGGAGGGCTATCTTGACGTTCACATTTTGTTACAATCTTTTTGTCTAAATGTTGTGAAGACTGGCAACACCAACACCGATTCTTTCTTCATGACTGAAATGGTGATTTGTTTCATTTTTGACTCTTGCCAGATGATTATTGATCTGGTTGATGTCATTTTGGGGATTTATCAAATCCAAATCCTGTCTCTCAACTATCTTTTGTACCTGCTATCAGTTGCAAAATAAAAGTTCTAATATCTAATATCTAATTAGGAAGATCTGTGACACGGTGAGATAAACCTCCATAATGACATTCCTCATAATACAGTTCTCATTTTTAGTGACATTAGGGACAAGTTTACATCAAGTTCATCCTTTACATCCAAATTTGCATCCAAATGCAAATGCAAACAAAAAGAAAAAAGGAGATGAAGACAACAAAACGAGTGTAAGTATCTCCACTGGATATCCTAGCCTCTCCCAAGTATATTTATTTTCTCTGGTGACAGAAGGATTTCCTGTAGGTTAGTCTGACATTGGCAGAGGTTAGTGCTTTCTCCCACTCTAACCCTATTGATGCCTCTTTGAAGACACACATATTTACACTTCACACCCATTTTCACATCCCCCCATTCCTCTGGCGTCTCTTCTGACATACTGTATAACAGCAGTTGATGCAGCCATGTGCTCGCATTCAGTCCGAGCTCACATACAGCAAACAGGCACATACGTTAACATCACACATTAACGCGCGCACACACATACACATACACATACAGGACAATATGGTGAGGCACACTCAAACAACTTTAGGTGTGTAACAGCAGTTAAGTCAGAGAGTACATTGCTTTACGACCTATTCTGAGCAACATCTGACCTCTGCTGCACAGATGCAGCCCCGGGACCCTCCTCAAGCTTAGTAACACACACGTACACACAGGCATGGACAATATATCGTATATGAATAAACAAAAACTCACATGCAGATACACACCTACATATGCACACACCCATGTGCCAAGGTGTGTGAAAGCAGTTCCACCCTGCATCACTATATAACCTTTGCTGCTTAACACCTGACCTCTGTCTTGCCCATGGGAGTCCACGTACGCACATAAAACACACAGAGGCAGACAAACACTGCACTCCACTGTCATGACGCTGTCCTGAGGGTTGATGGGAGCCGGCTGGACATGCAGTACATTCACGTGTTTACCCTCATACACAAAGGCAAGCATGTGCACAGACTTGCACGCACATATACTGATGTGTCTCTGAATGTCACTGTAACTGTGAGAGTTATAGAAGCATTATTCAGTTATATAGCACATATTTAATGTCACAGACTGTGACTTGATCATTTTTCCTCTTGTAATTTCAGTTGGACATAAATTCCTTCAAAATAAACAAGACTAGGTCCAAACCTAGCTGGGCTGTGTATGGTCAGTGTACGAAATTGAGGAGATAGTTGAAAACTGTTGTTGAACTGATGAAAACAACAACTAATTTCAATGGAAAGAAGCTTAAGTATCTAAAGCCTAATAAAAGTCACTAGATGACATAATATGCTAATTAGCATATTCATGACATCATTGCATCATATTTGCATTCAGCCTAGTGTCAGCTGGCTTCAGCCCTTCATCTGTTTGCTTCGCTCCTACTCTCCGTGCACACATATGCAGTATTTTAATGCAGCAGAATTTTCAGTAAAGCTGTTTCTCATCAAACATAGAAATGACTGAAACATGGCCCATTAAGACTACATGTTAAGCAGCAGTCACTTCTAAGCTTATTCCAAGCTGCTGCTCTGCTGCTGCTAAAATCCTGATTTTATAACCGTGATGTAGTCTGACTAAATCGTCAAACACATAAGTTAAAGAGAAAGACTGTGCTGTGATTTCGGCTATACATACTTGTGACAGAATATCTTTCTTATTTTGTATACCGCTCACTGAACACTGAGTAGATACAGTTGCTAGGTGTTTTTTTTGAAAGACAGTTGCTAAAGGGGTCTGACAACGAAAACTGTTGTGCAGCTGCTTTAAATACCCCGATGATGTAATAGAAACTGTTCACGCCAAATCATTTTGAAAGGGCAACAGCCAATGGGAAAAATAACTTCATCACTCACTCAGTCATTCACTCAGGCATGGGCATTTGTGGATGTAGCGCTGGTACGTACTGTCACATCACTAAGACCCCTGAGCTCATCAATCAACAGTTCATCCATCTTGCTGAAAGGTCTGTACAAACAGTATTTCATTCATATTCTGGGTATCTACAGAACAATTATTACTTTATTACTTTATTTAACAACACCAGCTTCCATTGTCATCTTACTCTGTGTGGTCAAACATGTAGCTGAACATGTTCCTGAGCTTTATGCTGTACAAACAGAACTACAGTATGAAGTGAGCTTTGATAGGGCTTGACAGAGCCAATGAAATGTACCGCCATGCATGTACAGTGAATAGCCAAACTACTGCGCTTACAAATAATCATGGTGTGGTGTCACTCTCGGGAATAACATTTTGTGGTGAAACCTTTCACATTCAGTATCTCAGAGCTGCAATCTGCATCACAAATCTGATATGTTGACAGTGTGGAATCTATTTCTCAGTAGAAAAGGAGGTATTTATCTCATGCTTTTAAGATGACATTATTAGAGCAGTCATATCATCACTTGTCCATGGTCTTTTAGTATGTGAAAGCCTCTTATCACAATGCCTCTATCCTTGACCCTGGTGCACATCAGATGGTCAGCTACATGTAAACAACATATAGACCTTACATAACCTTTCACACGGTCACCTAATGCTTAAAAATCGCTCTTGCAGACCCCTCATGTGTCACAGCTCTACAGATCACAAAGATGAGGGTTGTTGTACTTGTGTTGCTCAGCTGCTGCCTGTCTGAGGCTAATGTCCTGGGGAAGAGGTTCACTGCTTTCATTGACAGTCAGGATGAGGCCGCTGAAGCAGATAGTTTCACTCTGCTTAGAGAGATGATGGCTTTCTTGGATGATCAGAGAAATGAGCTGCAACAGGCTAAAGAGCAACTGGTGCAACTGCAGAGAGTACAGGGTATGTGCAGAACCTGAGCATCCAAGTTGTTGTTTTTTTCTTTTCAGACTTAATAAAAGGTTATTATTGAATGTTAAATAATTTGTGCATTTTAATGTACAGAACAGACAGTCGTTGACAGCCTGATGCAGGAACTATGGAAACAGGTGGATGCACTGAAGAAAGGCTATACAGGTACATTTGGACACAATTAAATTAAAAGCAATATCATATTTTGTGTGTTTTTTTCAAAATAACATTTGTTTCATAAATATGTATTATATTCATAACTCAATCATTCATTTCTAGTTTCAAGTAAGTAGTTTAAAATTCCTCAGATTTTGGGGGAGTGTTTATTATTACCTGGTGAGGCGTACGTTTGTTTGACATCGCATTATTTCCATTCTGTAAAAAAGACCACGAGGCCAGGCTGAGAGTCAGTGAGATGCA